TATTTTAATTTTATTTTTTATAAAAAGGTATGTTATTGTGTATCTTCATCCAATTTTTTATTTATTTTTTATAATTATATAATTTGATTCATAATGTTATAATATTGAATCTCATAGATGAGTTTCGTAGCATAAATTGAAAGAATGGTCACTCTAACTAGCCAAATAGAGTGAGGTATTTATAATATTATTTGAATTTAGAAATTCCAGATCTCTGCATCGTGACGCCTATAGGTCAAAATATACAAATAATCTATATTTAGGCAATACCTGGCACCTAATTCTAGCTACAGTCAATATATACATTTAAGATTTGTAAAAAACTGAAATGAATTTATTATTAACATAAACAAACATGTAATCTGACGTCGCAATACAAAGAGTCTAACTGGCATTTCACTCAGCTTATATCTTCACTCTCTATTAAAACTTGAGCCCCGTCTTTACTTTCGCTTGCATTGCATAAATCAATACTTCAATACCTCTCATTCATATAATATATAAAGAGTTAAATGAGCCAGTTGGATAGAGCTACTTTCCAGTCGCATTCTCTTTGTCTAGCTTTATTAGTTAACCTCTTATTAACTGCTTAGTTTATTCCTAATTGAATATCATTTATATTTATACATATTTATGCTTAGCTAATAATCAATTGAATTGATTCAGCGTGAATAATGCAAATCGCCGGCTTAATCAATTACGTTGAGCAAATCACATGATCCAGATCAGCTAAGAGCAGGACTCGGCCACAAGTCTGAATTATGTATTTACTTAATTGAATTGAGAATTCATTCTCATTGGCTGTGCGCTGCGCTCTGCTGACGCGGCGCAATATACGCTGATAAATGGCGCAGCTTTGGCAATATATTTCTGCACATTTGGTGCGTTATTAAACGAGGCATCAATGCAGATTTATGTTTATGATATTGCGGCAGCAGCAGTGGCAGCAGTGGCAGCGCCTCGAGACGTGCGGCGCAGCTTCTTCGATTGCCCATATAAATATGCAATTATTTTGCATTTGCCAGCGGCAGCTCGCGCTTTTATTTGCTCGGCGGTCATACGCCATGTTGGCCCTGTTTATGACACTCGCGACTTTTGGGCGACAGCAAAAAGCAAATTGACTTTTACACACACACACACGCACACACACACACACACACACACACACACGCACACACACACACGCACACATGCGTGAGCTTGCCTCCTGCGGCATTGGAGGGGGGTCGCGGGTGCAAGCACATTTATTTGCTGATTTATTTATATTTATATTTATGCGCATAATTTGCATTTCACATATATTTGTATATAGAAATCTATTTATTTTTTGCTCGTTGTTTATGTTTTCGCCCGCACAGCGAGCATAAATATATATCAAATTATTGTGCCATTCGAGCGGAGCAGAGACATATGTATGTGCCACGCCCCAAAGTACTGGAGCCCCCTACAATAATAAAACACAAGGAACTGATTTAAACAAATGCATTTGTTATCTGAATGACGATGAAAAGGAATTTGCAAAAGCATTGCACTGCGAGCATTCTTTATGGCATATCTTTCAACTAGCTTCGTATTGCTCAAATTATCTGAATCAATAAGATTTTCACTTGAGTTTTCATTTGATTTATTTATTTGTTTGCATAATTGATTTTAAAGCATTTCTCATATCCAAACTAATCGAAGCAACCAAAATCAAGAAATCGACAGCAATAAATAAATTACTATTATTTATATATAATAACAATAATAATAA